CTATACTGCAAAATACATAAAACATACTATTATTAAACGTTGTATGAAAAAGAATATTTGTCATGTATATAAATATGCAATATATATGTTCTGTTATATTGCAAAAACGTAAAATGTTATTTATTGTTGTGACCCCTTTTTCCCAAATAACATAGGATTTTCGAATTTGTATCGAATACATCGCACAAAGCGGATTTAATGTAATGACGTCCCAGAAAAGCTCAACGGTGAACCTCTCTTTGGGGCATTGTGAATAACCTTCTTTTTTTTTCAACTTTTATATTGAAAATATAAATATTCAGAGGGCACGCAAGTCGCAACCTTCGAAGTATGAGTCTTGAAGAACTGCTCGCTTGGCAAGGAACGTAAACCTACAACTTGTTTTTTTTAATAAGCTGCATTATTCGATAGTTACCTACAACCCTTCATATGCAATGTAGGTTTCATGAACGGATTTTACAGCTGTATACGGTATTGGTATGGATTGTAGTAGACATTAATTTGTTATTTAAAAATAATTGTAAGATATAGGAATGCCTTTCCAGAAAGCGGTACAAATCTGCGAATAGTCATTATTGTTTTACAGACGAATTTGTCATTAAACTTGTTTCTTTTTTTTAACAAGTTGTTTATGGCAGTTCTATGGGTTTTTTTCTGAAACGGTTCAAAACTACGTCGTTGTTACTATACTTGCTTTTATGTAAAATATATTTTTGATTCGTTTGAGCGAATGTTGTTTACGTTGACATGACTTCACTCGTTTACGCCAACGACAACAAATGCGAACGGAAAACAAACTTCTTCTGGGTACCTACTTAAGAAACATTTTCAAAAATAAGGAATAAAAAACATCCAACGTTGTTTGATGCGTACACAAAAGATGGTTGACTTTTGTTCGAACCGTTACCTAACGACTCAAATGTTCTTATAAAACTTGACGGGCTTAATGAGTTTCCAAGTTATGTTTTGCAAACAGCAGCTGTGGCCCGTGACAAAGTTTTGTGTTAATTGCTTACATTTTGTTTACAATTGTTTATACTTTGTACACATTTTTTATAATAAATAAGTGTGTATAGTGGCGTATTTTGGAGGGAGAGGTGTCTACGGTGCCTGAACACCACCCCTTGCTAAAAAAAAGCTGTATGTAATATTATTTTATTATTTTACTGATTAAAAAAACAAGTTTTATTTTACTTAATGTACAACCGTCTGTATGTGAATCTTAAAGCTAATTATTCGCCTTCAAACGAATATTTATCAACAATTCCCATTTTACTTATACACCAATCATGATGCAATTGCAATAGCAATAGTTACTACTTAAATATGATATACTTTATAATACTTCTTTTATGTTTTACCTGCTGAAGATTTAACTCTGCAACAACTGTGACTTACTAATACTATAATTGTTAATTCACGTTTTCATTTTATGCTATATTAACTTAATACCAACATACTTACACAGAACAGCATACACTGATTACATTGTAAAACTATTCATAGTAATTTTTTATTTTGTTACTTTATAGGAGAAAAATTGGGCTGTTTAAAAATAATATTAAAACGAATAAATATTGATGTATCTGGTTTGTTTATTAGTACCAACACATATTAGTTATAAGAAAATATATTACATCAAACTATAAATGAATATGTGTTGTGTAGGCTATGGCATTTTTGAAGTTTGAGAGCGATGAATTGAAATTAACAATTCTGAAACAAAATAAAAAAAATATCAATATTAGTTGGTTGTTAAAATATAAAATTATTATTATTTTTACTATTCAAAATAACAAATAAATATTTGAAAAACAAAATTAGTTTAAAATTTAATTTTTATCAACTTATATATTAATATTAACTTAGTATCCCACAGAGGCTAAGAGGCAATATGGCTTAAATAAATAAATTGTATTAAAATTTAAGTTTATGATTTTAAAGTATATTTAAAAAAGGATATTTAAAAAAAAAATTAATTCGTAATAAATGAAATATAAATTAATTAATAACATTTAATTGAAAAAAATTGTTGGCTATAAAAATGTATTTAGCTAATATGCATATTATTATTTTTTTATAGTATCAAACGTTTACAATGACGAATAATTGTGAAACTAATTAAATTAATTTAATGTTCTTTTTTAATAAGATGAATAATATAAGAAATATTGTATTATTTTCAAAATAATAAAGCAAGAAATGGTTATAGTAAATTAAAAAAAAAAATTTTAATTTAACACATCAACATATTTTTTTTAAATTTCAATAAATAATATTATATGAATTATTATTATTATTATTACATAAAACAATTCAATATTTTTAAAAATTCAATAAAACAAATTATAAAAATATTAACTAATACATAAAACAATTATTGTTAATTTTAAAAAATCTTCAATTAGTTTATCTAATGTATGTTCTACAAAATCAACAAAATAACATTCTGTTATTAATATTTTTATATTATGTTACGGATTAAATAAACAAAGCATTTTTTTTTAAAAAATGTTAAAATTTTGGGTCTAATAAATATTTAGACAACGCATGTTTTGTTAAATATAATATAAATTCATTGTTTTTCAATATTAAAACATACCATGATTTGGTTGGTGGAGGGAGCAGTCTTGGCCACGATTTTGATGGTTTTGGCAGAGTTAACTTGTCCTACGACAACGATGTTCATGGATACCTTTTCAGCGCCCATTTTTGGTTTTTTTGTTGTTTCTTAGAGAAGTGATAGACTGCAAAATTAGTAAAAAGAGTTAATAATCATATTGAGTATAAATAATTGCAATCACAATTTTATTACAGCGGTATACTCACCAAAGAATTATGATGCACAAAAATTGTGTTATGCTAGATCTAAAATTCTGTCTGCTATTTATACTCGTCGGAATGGGATAATAACGTTACACTAAGTGGCGTGGTAATACGGTGCTATGATTCTATGTCTGTGATAGGACGCCAAAACCAGACGATAAGTGGCCCCACTAATCAAAGACCAACGTAACGCAGAACGAAACGTTGTTATGAATTGAACATAGTAAAGTAAATAATAATTACTCAATAATAAAACAAATGTTACACATTTTAGGTACGAAAATTAAAGACCATTTGACGAAATGACGATTCTACACATACATTTTTACAACTCACAACCGATTATATGTTTGTATAGGCTTAAAAAGAACCCGCGTTAAACATAATTTATTTCCATGAAGTCTTATTGACATAAAGTTATGTCAATAAGTAAAAAATTGAATTTAAAAAAAAAATATTATTTTTGTTATATTTTCAAATTATGCATAGCTCTGATTAATTAGGATCAATTAATGTATTTTCGAATATATGGGATAAATTTAAATAATTATGTTTTAAAGTCTATTAATTATTGTTTGCTAACATAATGGTTAGTTTTATTGCCGTGTTTTCAATAATATCACAGGTGTAAATTTACTAAAAAAAATGTTTTGTATAAACATAATTTATAGTATTTCGTGTACAATAGGGTACGTAACTACTGAACTGCAACCAAATTGAAAATGCAAAACTTGTCTAAAACTATGTTTATATCAATAGCATTAAGTGCACGTGTATGGTATATATAATTATATATTTTACATCTGCAATTATACAATCAGTGAAATTATTATACGGTTGTACATGCATAGTGTGTTAATACAATTTTTAAGCAAACTCATATCTGTTAAACAGTTTACGGCTTCTCCATTTGGTTAGAAAGTGGCACTTGATAAATATGTCATATTTCTAAAAAAGATGTGTACAAAAAATCGTGTAATATTTAAAGATGTACCGTATAATATTTGGTTTTTAATTTACAACATAATATGAGTTTTTAAAATTGTTTACTAACAATATTGTTGGTTTTATGATCTATTTGGTAGCTAATATAAAATACACAGAACCTATGATTTCGTGTTGGCACGTTTTGATTTATAATAGACTAAACCACAACTTTATACTTAATATTTTTTGTTCCAAAGCGAGTTGCCAAAATCAAATCAGATTTATAGTGACGTAATTTCAAAATATTACATATTTAATTACTACACGAATTGAATGATTTTAACTGATTTATTGTTTACAGTTACAATATTATTGTTAATCAAATAAATATCTATTAAAAAAATGTTGGTCATATTTCCAATTCTGTAGTTGTGCTGCGACACACAATCCAATACCAACTATATTATTATTTTTCTACTTTATTCCTACCATTGTTTATAAAACGTCAGCCTGTTTTTCACTTACTGAAACCCTCGTTATAACTGAGATCGGTCGTTAAAGTAGTATTCGAAATCATAGTAAAAGTAAAACCATCGCAGCTGTCGACAAAGGTTTTATGTTTTTGGACTCAAGAAAACAAAAGCTAATGCAGAATGCAGATAAACAATTTATATTATTACTATTATTATTACAATGGCGCGTAGCAATATTAAATTTAAGTAAAACGTCTCAGATATTGAGTATTAACGATAAAATGTAGAATCCTCAATCCTATGACAATTTTTATATTAAATATTAGTCGCACCGATATCCCTTATATTCATTATACTTATTTGTTTTACAGCTTTGTGTTTCCTGTGAAGCGTTTATAACCACAAACAAAGAAGTACAAATAGTGTAGTTAAAACTTCCTTCGATTTATCATTATACAAACAAAAATATTCTGAGTATATAAAATATTGTTATTGCTTTAATTAGAAAATAATAACTTTGCTCGCACAAATTATAGAAATAAACCGAGGTAATTATTTTGATTTTACTATCGAGTTGACAAGATCGTACTATTTTTATGTCTTGAAAATGTGCAATGTAAATAAACAAATTTATTTGATGATTTATTCGGGAAAACATTTTTTTCGAAGTTCGTATAAATGCTAATTTAGTAAATAATTTGTAAATATTTAGATATCGTAATAATTATTCTTTGATTAGTGGGGCCACTTTTCGTCTGGTTTTGGCGTCCTATCACAGACATAGAATCATAGCACCGTATTACCACGCCACTTAGTGTAACGTTATTATCCCATTCCGACGAGTATAAATAGCAGACAGAATTTTAGATCTAGCATAACACAATTTTTGTGCATCATAATTCTTTGGTGAGTATACCGCTGTAATAAAATTGTGATTGCAATTATTTATACTCAATATGATTATTAACTCTTTTTACTAATTTTGCAGTCTATCACTTCTCTAAGAAACAACAAAAAAACCAAAAATGGGCGCTGAAAAGGTATCCATGAACATCGTTGTCGTAGGACAAGTTAACTCTGCCAAAACCATCAAAATCGTGGCCAAGACTGCTCCCTCCACCAACCAAATCATGGTATGTTTTAATATTGAAAAACAATGAATTTATATTATATTTAACAAAACATGCGTTGTCTAAATATTTATTAGACCCAAAATTTTAACATTTTTTAAAAAAAAATGCTTTGTTTATTTAATCCGTAACATAATATAAAAATATTAATAACAGAATGTTATTTTGTTGATTTTGTAGAACATACATTAGATAAACTAATTGAAGATTTTTTAAAATTAACAATAATTGTTTTATGTATTAGTTAATATTTTTATAATTTGTTTTATTGAATTTTTAAAAATATTGAATTGTTTTATGTAATAATAATAATAATAATTCATATAATATTATTTATTGAAATTTAAAAAAAATATGTTGATGTGTTAAATTAAAATTTTTTTTTTTAATTTACTATAACCATTTCTTGCTTTATTATTTTGAAAATAATACAATATTTCTTATATTATTCATCTTATTAAAAAAGAACATTAAATTAATTTAATTAGTTTCACAATTATTCGTCATTGTAAACGTTTGATACTATAAAAAAATAATAATATGCATATTAGCTAAATACATTTTTATAGCCAACAATTTTTTTCAATTAAATGTTATTAATTAATTTATATTTCATTTATTACGAATTAATTTTTTTTTTAAATATCCTTTTTTAAATATACTTTAAAATCATAAACTTAAATTTTAATACAATTTATTTATTTAAGCCATATTGCCTCTTAGCCTCTGTGGGATACTAAGTTAATATTAATATATAAGTTGATAAAAATTAAATTTTAAACTAATTTTGTTTTTCAAATATTTATTTGTTATTTTGAATAGTAAAAATAATAATAATTTTATATTTTAACAACCAACTAATATTGATATTTTTTTTATTTTGTTTCAGAATTGTTAATTTCAATTCATCGCTCTCAAACTTCAAAAATGCCATAGCCTACACAACACATATTCATTTATAGTTTGATGTAATATATTTTCTTATAACTAATATGTGTTGGTACTAATAAACAAACCAGATACATCAATATTTATTCGTTTTAATATTATTTTTAAACAGCCCAATTTTTCTCCTATAAAGTAACAAAATAAAAAATTACTATGAATAGTTTTACAATGTAATCAGTGTATGCTGTTCTGTGTAAGTATGTTGGTATTAAGTTAATATAGCATAAAATGAAAACGTGAATTAACAATTATAGTATTAGTAAGTCACAGTTGTTGCAGAGTTAAATCTTCAGCAGGTAAAACATAAAAGAAGTATTATAAAGTATATCATATTTAAGTAGTAACTATTGCTATTGCAATTGCATCATGATTGGTGTATAAGTAAAATGGGAATTGTTGATAAATATTCGTTTGAAGGCGAATAATTAGCTTTAAGATTCACATACAGACGGTTGTACATTAAGTACAATAAAAACACATGTTTTACACGGTTAATACTTAATAGTTTGAAATTAAAACAGCTGAAGATTAATAAATGACTCTGAATAACAGAACAATTATTAAGAATCATTTAAACTGTAATTTTTTTATTTTCATTTGTATTTAAATAGGTAACAAAAAACAATTATAATTATACGTTTGTTATATAACTTGATATTACATTTTACATTGAAATTTAATTTACAAAAAAAAAAAAAGCAATAGTAATTCTCCTACTAATATAATTGTTATGCAGTTGTAATTTTCTAAAAAACTTAATTTTGTTTTATTTTAAGTAAAATATTGTGAAAAAAATTGAACTTAAAATTTTGTCACCGCCGCTAAACAAAATGCATATTGTTATACCTAACTTAGGTTGTTAATAATGATTTCCAATTATAATTATAATAAATTGTAAAAGAAAGGCCACATAATTTTGAATAAAAAAAACAAACATTATTCTAGACAAATACTTGTTTGCGAAATAATTTGCACATTTTTAGGTATCAAAATAATTATATACATAGGTATATAAATTAGGTAATATCGAATGTTTACTTATGAATAGTATGACTGTATATACATACTACATATTTGTTTTGTATTTTCTACTTTATTGGTTTCGTGTATTACAATAATTACAGATTACAGATACCTAACAATATTATTATGTAAAAGCGGTCCCAAAAGAGGAATAATTCAATATTATGGATTAGGTTAAGGATATAAATCTTTTATTTTTTTCTTTATAAATCAAAAGGTCAAAACAAAATGCGGTTAAAGGCATAACGTATTTATATATTATAAAGATACAAAGTCATGTAGCCACAATTTCAGAAATACATTTTCATTATTACCATAACCCACGCGAGCCATTGAGGACTTCTACAAAAAGCAAACATCAAACAAGTGGAAGAGTCAATACTGTAAGAATATAATATAATATATTATACTATGAAAGTTATCGTACCATTTTCACGCTGATCCCAAAAATATATTTCCCCAAATTTAAAGAAGAAATTTTACTTCTTACGGCCTTATAAAGTAGGTACATACGTTTCGGGTACGATTTCTGATCTACCTATATAAACTTGCTACATGAAAAATCGGTCAAGCGGTTAAATAAATAATAGTGGGTCTATACATAAAAAAAATGAATAAATAAAAACGTCAGACTAAATTTAAATCAATAGACATAATTTAAATTTTTACAAAAATCTATTTAAAAACCGATTCGGCTACCTTTATTATAATGTTCATAACAAGATCATAGCTGTATACTTTTTTTTTATACACGGCGTCCAGCTGAGTGGATCATAATGCTATTGTGTTCAATGCTGTGTAGCGCGGTTGGCTACACTGAACGTTATCATTCAGATTTTGTGTTATCACATACAATGCTCCGACGACTTGAATGAGTTAGCAATTTATCTGAGTACCTATATTATGTTAAAAATCATCTATAAATTATAATATTGTTCTTACAAGTTACAGCTGCTATTAAGTTTATTTTGTTTTACATAAAGTTTGTGGAAACTTCAACAAAATGGTTCTCGAGAGTACCATGATATGGTAAGAATAAATTATATTTTGTATAATTATTATTTAGTGATAATGTTAGAATAGCTGTTCAATAAAGTTGGTGTGTCATAGTTTTGGTCCTGTAAAATGGCTATTTAAACATAAGTTTCACATCATCAGTATTATTGTATTTTTAATAATTGGGTGTCAAATTTTTTTTTTTTCTATCATTTTAAATATATATAATACGTATGGATTTACAATAAAACAAGTTAAAACTACTGTAAAATTTTTAATGACTCTGATCTTCTCAGACCATATAATATTATTTATATACAAATAATAGTCAACTCATCAATAACATATAATAGATATCACTTTTATCACAATGTTTTTAAAGCTCTTGTGATGCATTGACAGTCGACTCTTTTTGAGTGCACATCAAATATATTTAAACTCAATTTTAGTGTAATTTTATTAGTTATGACTAGTATACTTGCATAAAATAATAAAACTAATTCATTTTTTTACAGTGTTGACAATAGTGATTACATGCGCAATGGTGATTTCGTACCAACACGTCTTCAAGCACAGCAAGATGCTGTGAACTTGGTATGTCTTTCTAAGACACGTGCAAATCCTGAAAACAATGTCGGACTTTTGACTTTAGCGAAGTATGACACTTTATTAATGAAGAAATTCACTAAATAAATAATCAAATGTAATTTATTTAAAATTTTAGCGTACGTGTATTAGCTACTTTAACAGCCGATGTCGGTCGCATACTGTCTAAGTTGCATCAGGTCCAACCTAATGGTGATATAAATTTCTCGACTGGCATCAGAATCGCACATGTATTACAAAATATTATTATCTATAATTATTTTTTGTTATACTATATTATATTATTATTTATGGTTAAAATTGTTTTCGTTTTTATAGTTAGCGTTGAAGCATCGCCAAGGTAAAAACCATAAGATGCGTATTATTGCATTCATTGGTAGTCCTGTTGGGTTAGATGAAAAAGAAATGATAAAATTAGCAAAAAGGCTTAAAAAAGAAAAAGTTATGGTTGACGTTGTCTCATTTGGCGAAGAAGTAAAAAATAACTAAAACAATTCAATTACAATGTTGTTTTAGGACTTGCTAAAACTACGCTTTGTTTATTTAGGCTGAAAATTCTGACGTTTTGACGGCATTTGTCAACACTCTGAATGGCAAAGATGGCGGAGGTAGTCATCTCATTGCTGTCCCTCCTGGATCGCACTTTTCTGAAGCGTTGGTGTCGTCTCCAGTTATTCAAGGAGAAGACGGTGCTGGCGGAGCTGGACTTGGCGGATCAGGTTACGAGTTTGGAGTTGATCCTAATGAAGATCCCGAGTTGGCTTTGGTAATTGATCAAATGCATAGGTCATATGATGTAATATATAAATTATGTACTGTTCTATAGGCTTTGCGTGTTTCAATGGAAGAACAAAGAGCCAGACAGGAACAAGAGGCTCGTCGAGGTCAAACTTCATCTGGGGGGGAAGTTTCGGCGGCTCGTCCAGCTACAATTACCGAAAGTAAGAATACAATATGTAGTCATTATTTTTTTAGGTAAATTATATTTCGTAAGATTATTATGAATATGTATAATTAAAGAATACACAATTTTACAATAAGTAAACAATGTACAGAACAATAATATAAAATTGAAAACTAGAAAATGGACAACTTAAAAATATAATTTTTTATTTTGGACAACATTTATTTATAAAAACTCACTCGGTTATGTTAAACGCTTAACTTTGATGATAAATTGCTTATATTTAACTGATAAATAGATAGTTTACTATATATATATATTTAAATACGCAAATAATTTACATTATATTTACTCAAATAACTTACAACACTGCTTTAACTGAAGTCTTAATACGTTTTCTGTCAAATATTATTATTTTTATAAACGTTTTTTATATTGTATAAATTCTACTGCATAATTGTATTCAGTATTTTTCTAAGCCAATATTGCTTGCATTAATTAACAATTTAAACTACAAATTAAAAAAAAAATTAAAAACAAAAGCTAGTCTTACTGAAATAGCATTATATTAGTAAAAATCCATTACTTAATGTCAGGTGAAATATTTGTTTGAAAAAAAATAAACTATATCTGATAAACTAAAATTGGCAATATCACCAAAATGTTGATATCGGCTCATTCCGATCGTCAATTTAAGTTGGGGCGTTTAATGACAATCGAACATTTGCTACAAGAAGTATTTTATGTCGACTGTTATGTGTATTTTTTAAAAAAGTCCCAGACATTTTTTTTTGTACTTACGTAGTTGAGCTGAACATCATAGTATATGTTGTTATGAACTTAAGTTTTATACACTACCATCCAAATCATTTATAGAGAAATTATTTTTTTAACAGACATTAATGTAACGTGAGCAAAACTGTTAACTCTTTTCTCGGCTAACTAGAAAATCTCAAACTTAATATCACTCCGAGCCGTTATAATTAATTGTGTGCAAACACTACATCATACTTCATAAAAAATCTTAGGCTCTTTGCGAAATGTGGAAACTTTTTTGTTGAATTTACAATTTCCAACGCTATAATAATAACCTTTTGAATAAATAAAATAAAATGTACAAGAAAATTTTTTTTACCAACTTATTTGATTAGATCACTTAATATAAATTTTTTTTTAATTTGTGATTATGTTTCAGCTCCAACTGAAGAGGCGTTGTTGGAACGTGCTTTAGCAATGTCCATGGAAACTGGCGAAGACGAACCAATGGTCGTGCAAGAAGGACCAGCTGCAGCTGTCGGCGCCGCTGCCAGTGTCCCAGCAAGTGCTCATGTCGACTTTAACAATATGACAGAAGAAGAACAGATTGCCTTGGCAATGCAAATGTCCATGCAAGAATCGGCTACCGAAGATAAAGCATCGTCCAGTGCCGCTGCCAAACCCAAAGAGGAAGCGATGGAAGTCGAAGAAGATTACACAGAAGTAATGAACGATCCTGATTTCATACAAAGTGTATTGGAAAATCTCCCCGGTGTCGACCCGCAGAGCGACGCCGTACGTCAAGCTGTCGGACTTGTTAGCAAGGACGCGAAGGATAAAGATCAGAAAACCGATAAGGATAAGAGTTCTAAAAAATAAATTATACATTTTATTCTTATATTAAACAACATATTTTTCTTTTATAATTATATCTTTTTTTTTTAATTACTATTCAACTGAATAACTAGCCTAAAATTACGATTGTATTTCAATTAATACTCTAAATGACTTTCTCGATTTGAATTTCAACCATCGTAAGTGAATAAAAATAAAAATAAATGAGAAACCATGTTTTATTATATATATTTATATTTAATAATTGTTGAACACTGTTTTTCATGTGTTTACACCTGTAAATTATGAGTTTAAAATTAAAATTGATTATAATATAATAATGAAAAATAGTATAAAAATACTTGGATAAATTAACTATTTTTGTCTTGATAAGATATAATGTTGCTAATAAACACTGTAGTAATACACAATATAATAGAGTTTGTAGAAAAAGATTTTTTGAAGAACAATATCTTGTAATAATATGTGCTAAAATTTGGCTTACTTCACATTTTTAAACAAATAATATATTCAAATATCAACAATTCTTTTTTATCTAGATTTTTAAAGTATGTCAATATTAAAAGTAAAATATTAAATAATATTTAAAGTATTTAGCTTTGAAAAATTTAATTAGTAAAAAGCAACTGTTTATTTAAACAGTAAATTTAGTGTTCTGTTCGACATGACATACTACAAACTATAAAAATACCTAATTACATAAATTTAAATGTAATAATAACAATTTAACGTTATTTAATATTGTAGTTATAAGCAAAGATTGATAAGACTATAGTTAACATAGTACAGAAGATAATAGTGTTTTTTAATTTATTTGCTCGCATAATCTAAAAAACCGTTAATTAGTATTCAAAATAATATAAATATACATACTATTTAATGATTATATTAATTTTCGATGGAATATCTAACCACAAAATTTCGAGGGCCGGATGAGTTGTGATGTCCAGTATTACATTTTTGTTGTGAAATTATCTGCTAGAGCTTCGCCCACACGAGTATTTTAGTATAAAGTGTTCTGTAAATCCATAATGAGTTAAGTCACTGAGCGATGCCTTTTGTTTTATACGTCGCATTCAAGTTTCATCTAACTCGTCTTGTGTTTTATTTAAATTCTTAAAACGTTTGTGGTTCCACTGACAATAATTTGAATATCACAATATTGTTCAATGATTTAAGTGAATGAAAACAAAATCAAACAACATAAAATTAGCCGGTACCCACTTATAGTACTTATAAAAGTAAGACAATAAAATATATTTTATTATACTAATATAATAATAAAAGCTTACATCTCTTTTGATTTCATATTTCATGCTACTCTGACCAAAATTTGTTCCATAATAGTTATAGTGTTATTTAACAGATGTTTTTCGACCATGGATCTAGATATTGAATTAGTATAAAAGTGCTAACCGTGCTAACTAAAATTTAATATAAGATATTTATAAAAGAATATTTGACATTTATAAAAACGCAAATTATATTCGTTTTAAAACATTTATTGTGTTAAAGTTTTAAAGACATGAATATTACATTTATTTTATTACTAGTTTTCTGTTAATTTTGAAATCATAATGCATGTATCCATTTGTGTGCACACATTGCCGTAGCTCAGTTAATTTTGGCCTTCAGTGGAATATCTAAAACAAAAACATATCAGTTGTACATAATATTAATCTACATCGAAAACAAAGTATAATGTAAATTTTTTTTTGTACAGAAATTAATAAACCACTTTAAATAAAAGCGGTATTCAATAATAGCCAGTTATTGAAAACAAAAAAATGTATTTTATAAATACATTTTTTTGCTTCTTAAAACATTAATCCGATTTGAGAAAACCAAAGATGGAATTATTTAATTTTAAAAATGTTATAACAAATTCTTTGCACTTAAAAGAAATTTAAAACAACTTTTTTCAATATGTTTTATTATATAGTGACACAAATAATCGAAACATTATATAATTACATTATTATTAACAAAATCAAAATGTTTGGTTGATTCAAATGCTTTAGAAAAAATAAATAGCTTTACCCTCTTAACAACAAAGTAGATTTAAAGGTTATCGTATGATAAATGTAATTAAAAAAACAAAAGTAAAGTAAAATTGAAAATAAAAAAGACCGTTTTTATAATATATTGTTTACGGTGTAAGTAAATAAATTGGTAACACAACTTATAATAGATAAATTGTTTCTTAACTTACATTTACCGGCCGCTTCCGCGTTGATACTGCCTAATGCAAGCATACATACTGCAATATATATCACACCTAATGCAATATTAATGAATTTCATTTTCCTGCTTTACTGAAAAATAAAATTTACCGTTTTATAAATTGCGTAGCAAACAGTAAATTCGGTTTTCTTGAAGTCATTTTTACAACGCCCAAGTTTTGCAGATTTTGAAGTGAGAAAACGAAATAAAAACAACCACAGTATTCAAAATATTTGAAAAAATTATGTGTAAAAATAAGATAATTTTCCGTTTTTTTTCAACTTTTCTATATTTTTTACCTATTTTGTTTTTGTTTTTATGGAGATCCCAATTAGAAATTTACATAATTTATGTACAATTTTCTTAGCCTTATAAAAGAAATACAAGATAAATTCTCAAAATTTGGGCAACGTGAAAAAAAACTACTCTTTAGATTATTAATAATATTAATAATTTTTTTCAAAAAGCTGACATTATTTTACATAAGAAACTGATTTTTTTTTTGATGAGCGAAGATACTATAAAAAAACTGGTGTCAAAACACAAATCACTTTTTACGACAGTAGCCAAAATAATGAAAATAAATTACAAAAAAAATTCAGAACATTTTTTTCATGTTGATAGACATGCAGTGTAATTTTCAAAAAAATCTACTGGAAGGAATTTACTTACCTATGATAAACGTATTATCGCAGATGAGAATGCCGTATTCAGTTTGAATTTTCGAAACTAATTATGATTCTACTATACCGTGTGCTTGTATATTTATAGCCCTTACAATTGAATAAAAAAACTTTTATGTGAAACAAATATTTATTTATGGAACACTTGTTAAAGTCGCATAATGTATAGCATTTTGTTAACGCGGGGGCGTCAATGTGATGAGTCTATAGCCCTGAACTTGAATGACTATCAATAAATCAAACCATAATAAAATAATATTTAGATAGCTGTATATTTTTTATTTTAATTTAAAAAAAAAAATCAATCCCATAAAGTATTAAAGAAACTTGTGCAGTGCTTATAAAAACGTTTAAAGAGCACAGAATGACAAACGGTTAAATAAAATGTCTTTTAGGTTTTTAAATCTGGACAATTATATACGGGTGTTCCAGCATGAAAGGTAAGTAATAGGTGATTGAACATCTGGGGGACCCCTAAATAAGCACCCCGTTTTCATTTTTTCGATAAGTCAAAAATTGAAGATTTCGACAGTTAAGCTCACCTTGAAAGAGGGGTCACATCATTTTCAGTCTTTTTCAGCCCATAACTCTTCTCTTATCATTTTTTTCTTACCTCTAGTCTCTAATCATTTATCTCTTATCACTAATATATTATTATTTATTTCTTATCTCTTATTTCTAATTATTTATCTCTAATCTCTCATAATTCATCTCTTACCAATTATTTATTTTCTTTTCTCTCTCATCAATTATGTCTTAGCATTTATCTTTTATCACTTATCATTTATTTCTGGTCTCTAATCATTTTTCTCTTATCATTTTTTGAGTTAGGGGCCAAAAAGGACTGAAAATGATGTGACCCCTCTTTTAAGGTGAGATTTTTGCACTGAATAACAAAGAATAATTTTTTTTATTTTTAAGTCATTATTTTTTTACTTAACTGTCGAAATCTTTAATTTTTTACTTATCAAAAAAATGAAAACGAGGGGCTTATTTGGGGGTCCCCCAGATGTTCAATCACCTATTACTTACCTTTCATGTTGGAACACCCTGTATAGTAATAATATTATTCAGTGCAGCAAATCCCTGTATTATTTGATTGTTGTATAAACGTATTACTTACTTATCCACAGCCATATTTTATAAAATAGATATAAATTGAAATACATTCATACTGTTTTAAGTAAACCATGAAAGGTATAAATCCATTTATTGTTGTTTGCTTCAGATGGCTAACCAAAAATTCATCCTACTAAATGATGAACTAAATAAAATTTTAAAATGATTTGATTTTCCATTATTCAATAGAGTAATATCATTTTCAACAAATATAACAAAAACTATAGTCATGGACAAGTACAACAAAAAAAACTGTATATTATTCGAGTATATCTCAAGTAAATAAATTTAAATAGTAGGTACCTATACTTATATTGTTTTAACAATGATGTGTATTTAGATATAAATCACACACAAATCTAGATTGGAACTATAAGATAACAATTTTTCGAAATTAGACTTTTTTTTTTACTAAAGAAACCCTCCAAAAAATGTGGAAAATCACACATCTGGAATCATAAATAACTATAAGTGCCGGTGAAACAATAGTGAAGTTAAATTTATGATGGGTCCTAGTAATACAAGTTGTACAAGTGTACCAAAAAGGATAGACTTGTTGATGTGTTATGCCTACGTCTAAAATTGTTACACATAAATTACAGTGGACCGAATGAGAGCGTGACCGAATAATTGCGCTCTTTTTCACTTATGACCACTTAGTAAAAATATAAAGATTTGTGCAAACACCGAGACCGTCTTGAAGTTTCGTCTTCAGTCACAGGACCATCATGGAGACTCGCGTTCGTATTGCAGCTTTCTATACCTGTTTCTGTTGGCTTTACAGGTAAAACAACAAAATACCCTATATGAAATCATTTATAGTAGCAGAGTTTTACCTATAGTTTGCTTCCCTTAAATTTCAAGTAGCTATGGTTGCCGCAAACGGCCAAAAAAAAAAACAAATACGGCCTTTTGTATTTCATTTTTTATTACTGTACTTAACCGTTTGTTTTTTTTTTCTATTTCTTCAAAGCGTCCGGGCTAACGCGATCGACTTCAGCTCGATGCCGATGACCCTGTACAATGCCACAGCTTACATAATGCGACATCAGAGGAATTCCGACATAGAATTCATAAGGTCCACCGGAAACGAAGGTAACGTTTTAAAGTGATTTGTTTTTTTATATAAACGATTAAATTCTTCAGATAATACCGCATAAAAACGTGGGGGACAGGCAAAACAGATGAACTTTGGTGTATCTATTTACAGTATACCTGTAAGAAGTACATAATTACGTTTAGGTCTTTGTTAACTGTATAAAATAACTGTTGTGTAACTCAAATTTCCAATTATTAATAACATATTCATATTCATAGTATAATAACGTCAATTTCATTTAATGATATCATCATAAATACTATATTGCACGATAATATTATAAGCCAAACACTAAAATAATTAAAGTTTTATTACATAATATATATATTTTTTTTATTACAGTTGGCTTTGATTAAGTTTTCAAAAACGATATTACCCCTTTAACGAGGTCTTATTTGCTATATTTATTTTCGACACAAAATAGTAATTAAAACACAATATATATATATAAAATAGCTGGGACCTGTTTAATATATACGTATATATAAAATATTTGCTGAATCAATTTGAGTGATCGCCATGAGATAATATTCGGTATTATAGAGTATTAAATTTCACCAGAACTCTGTAACAATATTATTTAGTTATTATATAAAACTGGCAGTCAAATACATTTATAATTTAAACCTCATATACCTGCTTCGAAAAAAGTAAATGACAATTTGACAGCAACAATCTTACCGCACTTTTTCATTATAGGGGGGGGCAAGTACGCTCTAGCCTCCCCCCTTGCCCCGGGTATACCTATAATTCATATTATGTATTGTGTACTTATTTACTTACTTAATAAAACGTATTATTATAATAATAACATACTTGGCCATTCGACATTGATTACACTTAAAATAGCTAATCCCAATAAATGTTATTATATGATGTATATTATAAATATATACATATTATATATATATATTTATAATATACATCATATATATATATATAGGTTATATATAGGGAAAAAAGGTTATAATATTTAATACTATAATTCAGTTTTTCTATTATACAATAATTATTCAATTGTTTTTCCAAAGGAAATCTCATGTCTAGGTATACATTAGTAGGGTATCATAGCCTATGGGTTTATGTAATAGGTATTTAATACAAAAGAATATATTCGGCGAACAGCGGCAGTAATTAAAAATTATTTTTAATGTCGACGGTGAAAATAAAATTAAAAAAAAAAGTTAATGTTTTAATAATCATCAACAGCTATTTGAACAACGACACGCTAGTCGTTAAACTAATTAAAAATGAATTGTACATTTAAAACGAGAGTGTACGCCAACATAAGATTAATAATTGTTGTACGTATGCAATTTCTGGAAATAATTCAATGTTTTCACTTTAATAACATCAATGATGAATGATTTTCAAAACCACACTCGGTACAAAATTGAACGACTTTTAATATTATGTTTTATTCGTTAATTGATATTTTTCAATAACGCTAAATAAATACACGAATCTGAATCATAGCAATCTGCAATAGTCACACACACCCATATAGAAGTGTCACACAAACAATACTTCATTATTCCAACAAACGCAGAAAATTAATTATTTATTTTATTAACCCGAGTATGAAATAATTCAACGACCACACGATTCCAGTTCAAATAATGCTATTGTAAATTCCATTCCATTAATATTCAATATAAATATCAATTTAAAATACAAATACCATATTGTCGGTTTGCTTCGAACGAACTGTACCGCGATAGTGAATTAAACGCATTTGAATTATTGTTCACGTTTCATTCATAACAATTTACAGTTGAACCAAATTTATATTTATCATCTTCGTTTTAAACTCATTCTGTAGCAATGTTCTAGTTAACACTGTGTACATAATATATAATATACATCTAAACATATTTAAATTGGTAGTATATCATTTATTACGGTGTAATCCGTAAACGAATTAATTTGGTCATACATTGTTAAAATGCACACAAAAATAGTACATTTTTGAAATATTTTAATAATTTTTACCAAATAAATTGACACTAAATGTATTTATATAATGTTTGGAAAGGAAACACCGTGTAACGACATAAATATCTAAAATTATATCATATAAATTATTTTTAAACCAGTAATTAAATTCTATTTTTATAATGTTTCTGTCAGACCTAAAAGTTTAGAAAATATTAACATATGCAAATTGCTGAGTAAGTAGTGTCACAGTGACAACTAGACCGCATTGACAAAACCAGAGGTACATGGTCTAGTAAGTTTTTTAATTACTTGATACATATACAAAATAATTATAACTTATTTATATTTATTAGTTTTTGGTCTTTTGAGAAATCCAACAACATATGTATACGTAGTTTGAATATTTTACACTTTTTATTAATTTTAACATTTTTCGGAGACCGTATAGTTTAACTTTTAAGACATAACTTATAAGACAAAACCAATAATTTTAAGTTCCCTTCACACTGTAGGAATGTAGTCGTATTTTGAATTTGATTTAACTACACAAAGAAGAATAGAAATGTTGGCTAAATTATAGTTTAGCTCATAGTTAATTTAAAACAATATTCTCAGTTATAGTTTTTTTATTCGGATTTTAGCTTCGATGTGGAGCTGAGAAGGTATTGTTTTGACAACAATGTATTTTTATTTTCTTGATTTTTATGTAATGACTCAAAATATATACTTTAATCGCTGGATGGATTTTTCATATATAGCGAGTCCAAAGATCAGAAATCGTAGTCGAAAGGTATTTTATTTGGTAAAAAATGCAAACAAAATTCACCCCTTCCACATTTAAATCGACAAAAAACACCCAAAATATATGTACACTTTTCTACTGAAAAATATGGCGTGCAATAACTTTTGTAAAAATAGTAGAATTAATTCCAAATTTGCAGGATATTTTCTTAGAACATATTACTAACTATATACATTTACAAATAAAAAAAGTTATCAAATATCCTTCCCCTAGAAGGGGTAGAATATTTTTCTTTATTTCACTTTTTTTAGCGCAGTTGTTAGTTTTGAGAGTAGAAGGTCTGAAAGTTAGACTGAATGTAGACCCATTGTAGAATTATAACATTTACAATTATCCCGAATTTTTTTTTAAAAGAAATTTATAAAAAGGGGAAAATTACAGATATCATTTTTTATTAAATACCTTATAGGTTGATTTACAAATTTTGTTTTTTTTAACAAGAGTCGTGTCCCGGGGAAGAAAATTTATAGCGGTTTCCCGTTGATATCCTTTATTTAAATTTAAAAAACCCGTACTTTTCCGCACTATGCTGTGATTTTTTTCTATTTTAGTGTCAGAGTTATAAAAGTTGCTTGTGCTAACTGAAAGTTGATTGATCATCCGTGCATATATTAGAAAGAGTAGGTCCTACATACACAATACATATTATGTGAAATATATTGGTTCACAGAGAACTTGGTCCTGGCCAAAAGTTTTGCACGACCGTGTATTATGTACAATATATAGTATGATATTTCCCTGTAAGCTCAGCGGACCTCGGGTCTCCGGGTAGGTCGTGTAGTGTAAGCCTTTGGAGTATGGCAAAGGACGCGATCGGGATTAATCTGACGACTGTGTGCACACTATATAATATATTTCACTGACAAAACATAATGTTGTAACGGCCGTGTTACCCGAAGCCCGTGACCGTGCACGCGCTCACGCACTTAATTATTATTATTATGTGTGTGTAACTGTGTATAGCGGCTAACGATAATGATTTTAGACTCTCTGCATGATATTATTATATTTAAAAAATGTGTTAACAGTGGACGCAGACACGGGCGAAAACATTCAAGTCGACAAGAGCCCTTTGGTGTTGACCACCGAAGTGTGCAACCCGACAAAGTGTCAGTCCGGCAACAAAATGCAGGGGCTGTGTGTGCCGGCCGAATCGTGTTTCAAAAACGGAGGACAAGCCGGCATACCGTGCAACGGGTCGACCAATCTGATTTGCTGTACATGTGAGTGCCGTGGAAAAAGGTCCAAGTATACGATACAAATATATATATATGTGTTTTTTTTAAATGTGTTTTCCTTCATCAACAAGACTTGCTGACGTGCGGCGACGTGTCCGGCGAAAAAGTCACTTACCTGCAGTCGCCCGAAGGACCCAAAATGGATTCTGGCAGTTTGGCTTGCGACTACGACGTTCTAGTCCAGAAAGACACTTGCGCGGTTCGGTAAGCAAACATACATATTATATTATTATTTTACATATTTTTCCACGGCACCATAACGACTATCTATTCGAGTTAAGTGTTATGCTAAAATTGGTCATTACTATTTATACGTGGTGTTATGGTCGGCCACCGGAAAATTTGTTTTGGGCGAAGATTGTGCACCGTAAACGCGTTATGCAAATTTAGATCAGATACATTGATCGGAATGCCGCAGTACCTATGAAACAAAAATATTAATTATATTATAATAATATGTCGTTCTAAGCGTCGACTACGAACACGTGGAGCTGGCCAGGAAAATCGGAGGCGTGTGTGACATCGACCAGGTCTACATACTCAACTCCAACGACGGCCCTACCACAGGACAATGCGGACCTTTGACCGGCTACAGCAGTAAGTATATATATTTGCTATAATACATCTTTCATCCCCCAATCGAGTTAACGTTGTTCAATAAACGTTTTCTTTCAGCCGTTGTAGCAGTTAAACCGAATCAAGTGAAACCGCTAAAAATCGCACTAGTCGTCCAAAGTGAACCGGCCAACTTTTGGCTAATAAAAGTGTCGCAGATAGGATGCTCCGAAATTCAACCGTTCAAAGGTAATACCGTCAATATTCGCGATGACATAAGTCAGGCATTATACTATATATTGCGGTGGTAAACGCAATATTTGTCGAGAAAAAGCAAATTAAATTTACTTTGAGGGAGGACAATAGTAGTTGTTCAAATCGAATTATTAACTTTTATAGTGGTCTTTGGACACGGTTTGTTATCTTTCCATTTGTATTTGTACATCAGACTTGACCGGCAGGTATTATAATCCAGTCATGTTGTTATCGATTACACATTTTGACATGATTGGTAAACCCAAACTGACAGGCTAATGAAATTGCGCTTTACACTAGGAGAGAACATACCGGCGGCCAATACATCCAACGCGTTGACTTGTGTTGAAGTTTGTTGAATTTGCCTCTAAATTTAATCCTTGTACAATATCGTTACTGTGATTTATGATTCCCAGGCATTTGCACAATAAACCAAACGGCCCGGAAACTCGCAGACGCATTCCCTGGAGATTAACGTTAGCAGAATTATTATTTCCTAACCGATTTCACCGCCCGTCCCCGCTCAGGTTATTGCTCGCGTTTAACCGTAAAACCAGCTGCGGTGGTGGTTGTGTTGTATTCTAAAAATAGGACGTCATCTCACTTTTTTTTGTGCCCAAAGTACATGAACTAATTTAACGCAGTATCCTTTTACTTTGCTGGGTTCTAAATGTCAGGTGCAGTAAAATTATTTTACGGTTCTACTATTGAAATACTTCAAAAAACAACGAAAAATACAGTCGAAGGTTCATTACGTTAGCCCGCAATCATATCTCTATTATTTCTGTTGTCAACATGCCTTTTTCTCACTTCATACTTGACCAAAATCGATAAACCAAGTACCGTTTTAAAGATTAAGTTCCTCGCTTCTGACGAACTGTTAACTCACAATTGTACATTGTATAATCTTCTTCTTCTTCATCATCTTCGCCTTACACTCTCAACTACATGGGATCGGCCACCCTACTCCTACACCTCCATAGAGCTCGATCGCCTACTTGTCGTTCAATCACCCTAGCTATTCTTATATCACTCTCTATTCCGGTTATCCATCTTTTTTTCGGTCTTCCTCTTTCTCTATACATTCATCTTCATTACAACTCTCACATTACCGAACCATCTCAACCTATTTTCTCTTATTTTTCTCACAATCGTTGCAACTGCTAGACTCCCCTGATATATTTATTTCTTATTTTCTATCCTCCATAGTCACCACTCATCCATCTTAGTATTCTCATCTCCGCTACACTCATTCTCTGTTCAGTTTTCTTGTCTACTGTAGTCTAAAACTTATCTTTAAACCTTATAGGCAACCTCCTGTCACACAAAACACCTGACGCTCCTCTCCGCTCCATCCACAATTTACCCATATATATTTCACGTCCTCCTCATACCCGCCATTGTTTTGTACTATTAATCCTAAGTACTTGAATCTATCAACCTCACACACTTCATCATCACCCATCTACGTTACCTGTCTTGCCCCAATAACTTTTTCCAAAATCAAACAAGATTGCCATTGTTTTACTCCTACTAATCCTCAGACCTTTCCCTTCAATCACTTTTCTCCACTGTTCATACTTTCGCGGATTGAAGTTAAAAATTGAAAACACGGTTTTGTTTTTCAGAAGCGGTCGATTGTGGAATGTCTAGTGACGACTCTTCGCACCTAACCCCGTCGCCCAGCCGTTGCGACGACGAAGACATTGGAATTGGTGGAGATTCGAGGCACCAACGTTCAGCTTCGACCGGCGACGTCTGGTGGAGTTATCCCGAGCCCATATTGAACACTTACTATTACCAGAGCACCAAAGCTCATATGCGACAAGAGCACAACGGCGGCAATGTTTTCCACCACAACCGCAGGATCATCGGTGGGGCCGATGCGGAGATGGGCGAATACCCGTGGCTGGCGGCCATCGCCTTGGACGGGTTGTTCTTCTGTGGCGGAGCTCTCATCAACGACAGATTCGTGCTGACCGCCGCCCATTGCGTTATGACGTTAGTACTTAAAATTTCATATTATCCCTTGAAGGAAAAACATTGGATCATGAATATGTCTTATGGTACACCAGCTATTAGAAGACATCTTAATATAACTGATAAACCGCGCCAATTTCCCTCCTATCTATCATCTCCTACCCTTCTCACAATTTGTCACTGGCCTCTTATTGTCTGTCTCGTATCAGAAGCCAATATCAGCTGTCATTTATCGCTAATCCTTTATCAGCTGTTTCTTATCACTATCGGGAAGGTTAGGTTTACCTCATGACGAAAATTTTCATCAAACCTTCATCCATTAGACATATTCATGTCAATATATCTCTCCAGACTCCAGTTTTAGCATACTTCCAGCTTGGACTACAAGGGGGACAGGAGATTAGCTGACTTTGTGTATCTCATCAGTTCTCCAGAGATTATAAATTTACTCTTATCAACATACTAACCCTCATTGTCCTTTCCCCATTCCCTCCTCATGGGACGTCACTGTAACACATTTTTCTACAATGTTTTTTCGGAGGTATTCTTTTTACCAGACAAAAATAATTGATAAATTGCTATGACTGACAAAACAAAAAATACGAACTCACCCTAACTCTTTCAGGTTCACTTGTCTTATGTATAGGACACTAGGGATGTGTTTTATATTTTTTTCTTGGGGTGTCTAATGGAAATTGAATGGTGCGATCAACATACTATAAAAAGCGGCTCGTTATTTCCTACGGAAACATGATAACAACTTCTATTTATCATAATCTTTTTGACTGAGAAATTTAAAAAATGAAAACACATTTTTATCGTGCAAGTTTGTTCTTAACATCATTTTGTCAAAAAAAAAAGTAAAAATACTAAAAATAAGTGTTCATTGCTATGCTACCCGTGACGCAAAATGATAAAAAGTTAAATATAATTTCATCATTGATAATATAAGTAAACAGACTTATTCCTCTTTAGTCTTTTCAATCGGATGTATTCCTATTCAAGTAAACTTTTACATTTGTCGTAAGAAACTAAAAAAGTCTTGGAAAATCCGCAGTACAGTGAACTGTAAATGTCTTACTCGTTTTTTTTTATAGATAGTAAGCTGTGCACTTTCAAAAGAATTGAAAAAAATACTTCATTCGAATATCTTAGCTTCGACGAGGAGTTGAGAAAGTATTAGTTTTACAATAACGTGTGTTGTTTGTTATTTTTTTGTATCTGTAAAGCCTATAACTATTTTTAAGTTTTACAAGTTGATCTCTATTTTGCTTTGTCTGGAAAGTTAAGAAAATTGAACTACTGCCTGCTTGCTTTATTCCCGGGCCCGCGTGTGCCCATTATAATGTGGTAGAAGTAAGAGCAGAGAGAAATGGCTTTTTAAAACCCCGGCATGCAAAGTTCGAGCCTCGGTGCTTGCAGAACAAGTTTGCCAAGTTCAAAGTTACCGGCAGAGTATGATTGCCAACCGGTGTGTGTGTGTATTCCAAACACATGCGGTACACAATTTTATGACTCAAACGTACGATTAGCGGTATTAACCGTTAACCGGGTAATGTTGCCAAGTCACAAAAAGTAATGGCACGGCCGTCGTCGGCTGTTTATGTAATAAAGCGCCTTTGGCAAAGAGCTACATCTTAATTTTTACTACGATCAACGTCGAATGGTGAGGCCACTAAAAACGTTTAATTTCGGACGTCTTATACAGCAAGTGTCATGTACAGCTAGGAAGACATTGCTCCTGAAATATGTATATTAACCGGCGCAGGCCAGCAGAATGTATACAACACATAGTATAAACAGAGTTTGGGAACACCGTTTGTAAGCGTTTAAAATAGGTTTTCTTAGGCACCGAGTGAAGTTTAATTAGATTTGGTTAAAAATGAAATTCAACACGAGAACCAATTTCCGACCAGAACTCCGGTTTGAATTACTAGTTTGGTTTTATTTTTGTTTTACTATACATAAAAAAAAGTTCTGACGAAGGGTAAATAAAAAATATAACAAACGACTGTCGAATCAGACATTTTTTTTAATTTAAACAAATAAATCCCTACGCAAACAGTTATAATTATTAGCTCCATAACAAGTGGACAGGAGGGTAAAAATATCAGACTTAATTTTCTTTTTTTTTTGTATACAATGTTTGTTCTTGTAAATAGTAAGTCTGTGCAAATCGTCGACAGATTCTTCGATTTCTAATTTGACTACTAAGTTATTTATAGATTTATTCTCCAATGAAATCCATTTACTTATACACTTACACTCAACAGCCATATCGTTATCTTCGCATTATTATGAACTATGTTCAACCATATCTGACCTTCATCTCTTTTATTTCTATACAACCACATTTACATAATATGCCTGAACCACTTAAATTTATTCTCTGGCATTTTCTCCACGACAGATGCCAAATCACAAGTTCCCTCTCATGCATTAATTCCTTATTTGATCGAATAAAGTCATACCACACATCTTCTTCTTTAGAACACAGTAATGTTCTTTTTTAATTGATTATCCACATTCTAAATTGTGGAACACAGGTTGACCTCACAGTAAATTTTATTTGCTAAAAATAATATTAATAGTAGTAGTAATGTATTAATAATAGTGTTTCGCGGTTGAATGTGTTTCTTTTGTGTTCAAAACTCAAAAGTATTTTTGAGTTTTGAACAAAATTAATCATTTCAAATGAACCAAAACAAAATAACTGGAATTTCTTTTTGTAAAAAAAAAATAATTCTTTCTAATTTTATATTGAAAACAATTTTTCTCAGAGTAAAAGTTTCGCATCCTCCGCTTTGTTGACTATAAAATGTCCATTAAAATCAAATGATTCGCAAAAAGTTTCAACAACAATACTTGAATTTTGTCGTTGGCTAAACTCTACTTAGTTGTGGGGTGCCTTTTTTTTAATATATCCGACGCGTACGATTCATCGTGGAGACCTTTATAACCAAGTCATAAGACAAATGGGCTTTTAAGTAGAGTGTAATTGACATGATTTCAGTCACGTCAATGTGTTATTTCATTACACGGAAACCCTGTAGGAACGTTTTTTTGTAAATTGAATGTTTTCTGCATTTGCTACATAAAGAAAAAAGAAATCAACTGGAAAAAATCAATAACACATTCGGTGTACAATGAAAACGATATAAAAAAAATGTAAAACGAAAAAAACTCAATTGGATTCTATTAAATTTGAACTCTATTCGAGAGTATTTATGAAATACAATATTCGCATACCGTTCGAACAGCGTGTAACGTAGAATAAAGAATTTCATTATTTTTTATGTTCCAAAAGATATTTCAAAAACGCATTCATGCTCCACAAACGTTACCATAATTTGATTTATTCGCTATAAAAGTACAGTATAAACAGCTGGGTACAGTAAACATTTGAATACAAACATCTTTCATTTTAATATGCATTATTATAATAAAAAGCGCCGCTTTGTTGTACATAATATTCGATAAAGTATATACAGATCATATTATTTTAATAATTTGGAAAAAAACAACTGCTTGGTCTTTTCTAACAAACACAACACTGTAAAAATTAAAGTCTTAACAAACCGAGAAATTATTTTCAACGGTGTTCATTCGGAGTGTTCTAACCGATATCGCGATTCTCCTCTTAATTAGTTAACAAGTAAATTAAATTAAATATAAAATACTTACCATAGCCTTACAACATATATATACACTATCGTTTGACATTTAAAACATCTAATTAGTAACAGCTACCAATTACGTTGTAGGGGAAGCCATGTGACCGTAACAGTTCCCCCCTCATTGTCCCTACATATATATATAAATATTTATTTATTGTGATAAATAAGATTAATTTAAAAAAATGCAAACTTGGTTTTTTCCATACTTTTAAAATTACAAAGACTATTATGATTTTTATAAATGCAATATTGAAAAGAATATTTTCAAGATGTATTTAGTATTTTTTTAATTGTACCCGCAATGATGCCGGATGTTTTATTAAAGAAGTATACAATACTAAAGAAGTATAATATTATACAAAGTAATCATTCAACTTCAAGGTAACCGAAACCCGGCGAAAAGTTTTTGTCTTTTGTTTTAAGATTGGCAAAAACGCTAAGTGCGTTTAACCGTAAAGGTTTATTCTTTTTTTCGAATCCGCCCTCTGATGAAATATTAATGAAGGCACTTACCCTGGGCGGGGCATCGCGCCTCCGATAGAATAATTTATATATTATTATTATTATTACAAATATTAATTAAAAACAATTATGTCTGAGGCAAATTTAAACATGTATCTGATATGCAGCAAAAACGGTTGGAATTCACATTTTGACTTTTTAACTAACGTGTACACACAACTTACAGAACGGTTGGAAAAAATGGAAATTCAAAACCTTTTGCCGTAAATTATGTACATCTGCTGTAGTTTATTTATTTTAAAAAATTCCACTCACTGTACCTTCTCCATTTGGATTTTTATATTTGTTGCCTGACGACGGGCTAACCTCGAACATCATCTCATAAATATATATATGTATAATAAAAAACGGCGAACCATCACACTCTTTGTCAAGTCAGAGCTGTCGTTTTGAAACATTTTCCAAATTAAAATGCATCGGCGGCATTATAGTACGTTCATGTAATATTTATTTATTCTTTTTTTTTTGCTCAGAGACTAAAACAGATATTGCACAAACATACATACATATATTATTATTTTTATACATGGATGTATTATAAGACTGATGCATAATATATTACATGAATTTTACAAAGTAGGTACCAACGTATTTTAACTTTGAAAGCTAATGGTTTTACAGTGTTATTTTTTCTGTCCCCCCCCCCTTTAACTAGTCGGCCGAGATTTTCACATATTATACAGAGTAAACCTTTTAACCCAAGAATCTTTCATTGTCTTTGGAAATAATTACAATCTTGTAGACTTTTTTTTTTGGGCACGTTTTAGTTCCAAAGCTCTATCAAGTTTTGAAACTTATATATGTATTTACGGTGTATACTTCACTATCTTTTTTCACTAAAGAATAATTTACCAAAAATGTTGACTGAGTGATTAACCACTGTTGAATAATTATTTTTTAAGTTATTAAAGTTTAATGTTTTGAAAGAGTAGAGTGTTTTATTGTTTTTATCTGCGCGCGTTACTCGACCGCACTTAAGCGCTTCTCCGGTTTTTAATTTTTATCTTGAATAACCTTAAAAGTAATTAATCCAAAATAGTTATTGACCAGTCAAAGTTGTCAGAAAATTACCATACACATTTGATTAAATATATAAACGTTTTGAGATAAATTTCAAAAGTTAGAACTCTGGAAAAAAAACAAAAAAGGTAAATATTTAATTGTAATTTTTATAATATTGTTAAGTATCATTAACTAAAATGTCTTTAAAAATAAAAACTAGAAAATTGAATTAATTTTCAAAGAAAATTTGTGCCTTACGGTAAATGGATCATCGTGGAAGACCTATGTCTTAAAAATCATATTATACTTAGTGAATACTAATACAAGATACAGCTATGGACAGAGTTTGAAAAATGTTTATTCGAAAAACGTTCAAACCCAATTGTGGGCAGTTTCAATCTTATCATTAGCTGTACCGACTAATACTATTTATATAAAGTATGTACAGTTTGTGTAAATGTTTTAAATACTCAAAAAGTATACAAACAGATTTTAATTAAGCCGTTTTTCTTAAAAGCGAATTGTAATGTATATATTTTGTGGAATACACTAATTCATTTAGATATTATATTTCCACTTTACTGTTAGGTAAAGTTTGTTGTAAGTTTTTTATTTTGAAATTATGTAAGTTAACGGACATTTCTTAGTTAACTGACTTTCTTAGTAATAATTTAATTTTGGCCTTTGACTACATGTATATACATAGCTACAACTGAAAGTTTATATACAATATTGAATCACTATGTACCCGCGGTAGGTCTTTTATTTCCAAATTATTAACAATTCGTTTAAGTTGGACAATTTATGCAAAATTAATAAAAAAGTTTTATTTTGCATACAGGCCATACCACTTGTTTCTGTCTGCTTAAACTTTTAAACGGCATATAATGACAGGCTGATATTTTTAGAAAATATATTTCAGAAATAAATTAATATTGGTGTCACGCGATAAGGCAGAAATATTGAATAACTTTGGTCGAGATAAGATGCTATTGTACAGGAGTTGCACTTCTATTTTGTTACCTCCTTTTTATTCTTACATAAATAATTTATCTTCCATTATAACTTAAATGAAATTATCCTCCAAAATCAAAGTATTAACTAGTATTAAAATTTATAATACATTTTAAATAACATATTCGCAAGTCATACGATTAAATTTAAAGTTTATTTAAATAATTATTAGTGATTAATGTCTTATTAAAAAATGTTTCATTTTTTTTTTTACTTTTACCTACAATTAGTTTTTATCCTTCGACGAAACTGACTAAACAGTTTTTACAAAAAATGTAAAAATAATTATTAGAGGTAGAAATTATTTAATGAAGAGCTGATACGGCTTACTACAACGCCTTTTTTTTATACCTACTGCGTTACGATTCGCTTTAAATAGTTAGCTCTTAGTACTTAATTTATTTACTTAAGTACTTCATTTTTGTTTAGTAACACATTACACAGTAAATTAAATGCGTACATTTACTTTTAAAGAATGAGCGCAGAGCTCTGAACGTCTTAAATTCATAATTCAAAAATCATAATTTACAACTTTAGCTACATTCGTTTAATACAAACGGAAACTTCAATTGACGTTTATAGAATTGAAATCAATTTTATATGCTCCTGAAGTTTTGTTTTGGCTCAGTAGATTTGGTAGTGTGTTATGGATTCCTTACCTTTTAGTTTTGTCAAGCCAACTGCGACGGTTCGGATGACAAGCTAAATAGGGTTTGTTTTACAAAAGACAATATGGTAACGCTAAAACTGAATTATTAATTAGAAGCTATACATTGAAAGACATTGTATCTTGAACACGGTCTCTTCCTCTCAACCTTTCCATCCTTTTCATAGCCATAAGACATATTCATGTTAAGTTGAGTTTTTTTAAGAGTTTCTGTGGGAATATCAGTCAAATTTGGCGGAAACGCCAAAGACAAAATATACTAATCATAACTGTTATTATTTTTTTTTTGTACAGGAGAGACACACCCGTCGAAAGCTTAATGATACACTTGGGCGACTACGACTTGACTTCGGACAACGAGACGGATCACCAGGTGCGTTCGGTCTCCCAAGTGATTTTCCATTCCCATTTCCATCCGTTCCTGTTGGCCAACGACATTGCTCTTCTGCGGCTCGACAGACCCGTAGAAATGGGAATCACCGTGCAACCCGTATGCATAAACGGAGGCGGTGAGTCAACAATATTGCAAATATAAAGAAAACAAATTTGTTTTACTCCGTCCAAGGAAAATGCTACTTATTAACAAACTCGAACGCCTTTAGCGAGCAAAATTGGAATAATTTTTTACCATTTTTGCCAGAAATAGTATTAGAGAGTGCGGTATTTTAAAGGTTAAAAACAAAATATGTCAGCTTTTGAAACTTTTTACCATATTACAATGCGTTTTATTTGTTTTGCATATGATTTTTTTATTTATAAAAATAATGTTTATGTACCCTAAGGCGATTCGTACGTGGGACAAAAAGGTTCGGTGATCGGATGGGGAATCACGTCGTTCCCAATGGGCGATCCCAGCCCAATACTTCAGAAGCTCACCGTCGAAGTACTGTCCAACTTCCAATGCGCTCGGCTTATCGGCGACCACGTGGGACTGGGAATGTTGTGCGCCGCGGCTCCTTCTCTGCAGGGGACTTGTTTCGTATGTATATTACTAACAATAAGACATTCAAAGTATACAAATAGAAAAGCATTTGTAAAACATCGAATACAAATGCAAAAAACACGAAATAATATTTTGTTTTATTTGTAACGAACGGAAAACAACTTTAAACGTGGTAAGTATTAAAAAAAAATAAAACGCGCCAGATATTTTCTACATATTATAATGAGGGCAAAACGTCTAACTCGTTGTTGTACCGTGTAATGATTAAAATGAAAATAAAAGCTCGACACGAACGACGAACAAGTAAAACCCAAAATAATAATAGCAGATTTTTTTTTCTTACGGATGTCCGGAAGTAGGTACTTACAAAGTCACGGGCTCGACTTAAGCACATACTTTAATCGGGTAAGTTTACCGCGCTAACCGTCAACAGTGTCGTCGTCCCGCCGTGTTTTCTCTGTAATAGTGTGTAAGTAAATAAAATAAAGTAAAAACTTTACAAACAACGCATATTTGCTAAGCCTTTTTTCCCGTACAATGCCCGTTGCATAATATAATATGCAAATTGCAACGTACAAGTTGTTTAAACGCACTCTCAGTGTTTAAGGGAGAGTGTACAATTCTGTACCAATGTGAAAAAAAGTCACTTGTTTAGCGTTTATTTTCAACCTAAGCTTGAAACATGTTAAAAAAACGAATTTTATGAAACAAAAAGAGACTTGTTGCCGTACTTGCTGCCAACGCATGTTGGGCATCGCTGAGTGTATATTATATTATATACTCTACACAACACGAAGCGTTTATATCATTATTAAACACACATTACACAACTTAGGCAAGCCCGAGAGATTAAAGTTTTACGGGTATTTCAGCGGCATAATACTGCAGTATTTATAATTAACCGTATACAGTATACCTTCGTCGTCGTAATTATTTTTTTATTATTGAGTTTTCCACGCTCTTACCTAGAGTATCAAGCGCCATAACTCTGAACACGTGCCGTCTCGGTTCGGTGTTTCCAAATATAGTTAAGAAAAAAACAAATTTTATTATCTCCTTAAAACTGTACAGCTCACCACAACCCAAAGTCGTTATTTCTCTTAGTACAACCACATAGTAACAATACAATACAACCAGTAAAAGTAAACTTGTAACGTGCACAAACCATCATGTCTTAAAGTATAACGTGCTTATCCTAATTTCAAGGTACAGTGATTTTTTAAATGGAACAATAATGGAAGCTAAACAAGTTTCTTATAGAACGCCTACATTGTATTTAACGATACAAACAATTGTATTTTTTTAATATTTAGCCACCAAATATTATCTTAAGGGGCAATCGTTTAAAGTCTAATAACAACAAGGATAATTTAATTATCTACCGAGAGCAGAATGATGTAATAAAAATAATGACTGGCCGATAACCAGTGAAGAGTAAATTTAATTACATTACGGTCTACCTCGACTCCGGCTTATACCATTAAAATATGCTAATGACTCAAGAAATATTTATTCAAAACTGATTATCGACCAATTAATTGTTTTCATCCCATCGTTTTGCTCTTGATAGGTAAATTTAATCACACAAGTGGCTCTTTTTTTACTTTTTATTATCATAAAATGTAGTACAGATTTTATTTGAGCATTTTTTTTAGCCAAAACAATATTATTTTTTAGGAAAAAATTACTGCAACTTAAATGAATAATCCTGTATATTCAAATATATACATAGACATATTGGATTGTTTACAGGGTGACAGCGGGGGTCCTTTGACAATGCAACGTGACACGGGACAAAACGTTTTGATCGGTGTGGTCAGCTACGGTGTGACAGGATGTGCCATACGGCCGGCGTTTCCGGATTTGTATACAAGAATATCCGAATACACCAAATGGATTGACGTGAGCTTATCAATGTGATTTTTTTTTTAAGTGTACTTATTTATGATACTAACACTTTATTGTAATATATATATAAACATATGTTGCCCAATAATAGTTCTTATATTTATACCCTCTGTATATGAATTGTTATTTATCAACTATGTATCGTTGAAATAATTGTAATAACCATAATATTGTAAAACATCTTGTTTTTATACCTATAACTGTTATATTTCTAAATCCAAAAAAATAGAAATGTATACACTACAGATGTATACAAAATCCCGAGAGAAAACGAGATAACGCGCAAAGGTCATAACATCAAAAGTGGCTTGTTTAGGAAGGGGAGGGGGAGGGGAAAGTCGCCTCGGGTTAACGCTTTTGTATAAGCAAGAGTAGCAACTATGTTAGCTATTGTAAATCATAGCGACTCAATTCGATTACTATCTGCTGTTTCTAAAAAAAATAAGCTAGACTATTTTTTTTTTTTGTAATTTCTAAATGTAGTTTTACAATTAGTACATATGCAATAACAAATAAATTGGTGATAAATGGGTGAATCGCTTTTCCAGAAAAAAAGGGTAACATTTATTTATGAACCTAGGCCAGAAAATTCCTCAACTCTGGCTGATTACTTCAAAGTATTTGGGGAAGTATAGGGGGTGAAAATAACAGAACTGAAGTAATGGACGGATACTACCTCGCTTTTCTCTCTTATTCCAAGAAACGTTCATTGCTAGATTAATCGCTCTGAATTCTAATTAAAGTGAAGTTTGTGGTAGACACTTCAAAAGCATCTACTAACCAGCGCATATTAATGACACTACATGTCATTTCCACATGGTTGTTGATATTTGATTAAGGTAAAATTCGATGTTAATTTAAGTCAATGGGAGTCCGTTTGCCGTCGAGAAGTTTGAGTGTATTATCTCTGACAGTATCTTAGAATTTCAGAGAAATTCAACAGCAATGTCAACAATAAAGCAAAGCGAGGTACTGAGATTATAAAATATAATAATATACTGATTTGGCTGTATTAAAAAATATATTATCGTACACGCCCAGATATATATATTTTTTCAGTAAATATTATAATATCGTGAACAGTTTAAAGGAAAATATTCTTGTCTGGAAACCACTTTGAAACCATTTTAGTCACCAGCATTAAAGTGTCACTGTCACGAACAGGTTCATGGTCATAAAACTACATGTCATTTGCATTTTATACTCCTTTCGACTAACGACGTACCACCCAGTGCCGTAATATACTATGCAGGTAAAATTAACTTACATTAATTATGCATGTTTTGAAGTCAATGCTTAGTGTAACGAGCATTTGAGCTAATGAAATTCGCGTATTCATCAAGTCAATTTAACTCAACTGTTTTTAACGAATTGATTCGCAAACAAACTTGTTCGACGTTTATAATAACGGTTATAAATATTTTAAATTTTAATTGCTCATAGTTTCGTGTAAATAAGGGACAAGTAGGTATAGAAATAAATTGTGAGTTTTGTATCCAAATTGCATAACCGGAGTGCCGTCACACTGCTAACGTTTTGGGGGCAGAGTTTGGTCATTATTCACTTTTTAATTGAATAAAATATACTTTCAATAATATATGTTGATTATTTTTCGTATTATAATAAGCAATTTATATTGGTCGGCGTTTGTATATTATAACAACATAGTTTTAAAAATAAGTAATATCCAAAGTTGTTTTTTATTTGTCAAAATGTATACTTGTAATTAAAAATAAGCTGAATTTTAAATACTTATTTATTTAAAAACATTTGTATGAGTTAAGTAAACATAGGGGAATAAATCATAACATTTTTTTTTTTTTATAAAACTTTTATAATCAACATAATCAACAAAAATGTCAATTCAAATTTGTTTCACACCCACAGTGGTTGGTAAGTATACTATAAAGTGTAGATACAAACGATAATAATTGTTTGTCGATAATAGCGAATCGTTTTCATTTAGTTATTTATTAACAGTTTAACAATACAATTTACGTTTGTATTACAATAGTATTGCAATAAAATAGACAATGACCATTGTGCACACTATAGTAGTTTTGGCCATAACTTATCATAAGGTTACATTGACACACTGATTATTATTATTATTATTATTTAAATCCAACGGTAATGCTAATTAGGCGTTATTAAAATACAAATCCACAAAAATCTATCTACACTTCAATGTGATGACTGACTAGGTGAATAATTAATAGACCTTACTACTGATGGTTCAGGGCCGAACCTAGTATTTTAACGAGCGCTTACAGCTTAATTATTATTGTACATTTATTGTACTATATCATTATTAAAGTCGGTGAGTTTTATTAATATCATCAATTATCCGTAGTTGATGCTAAAGAGTAGTTCCATTATTTCTGGTTAAGGTAATTGCCGTTAATCAGTTGACGGAGTTCGGTTATATACTTATGTACTGAGTTTATAGAACGAACCAATGGCAATTACCGTTTGGACTACTCTGTAAAATACCAACTTGATATTTTATTAAAATGGAGCAAAATCCTTTTAGTCTCCGTCGAGCTCTGGTCGGTTTTAACATTTATGTTTTCGCCAAATTTCCGTCAATAAGTTAATTATATATATATAAACATTGTTATAAAAGTTTCAATGCTAATTTAAAATGACTAATTTAATTTTTCACGTTTTCGTGACGGTCGAGGAGTTAAGAGATTAAAAATAAACTTGTACAAACTTTGAAAATAAAAAATGCAATCTAAAACGGATTAAAAAAAATACTTCGTTTTTTTTTTGTACACAAATTAATACTGGTAATGTATACATATTTATACTATAAATTTCTTGTAAAAAAATATATGTACTATATACAACAAAAAAAAAACCATTACAATTATTTGTTTAAGGTCTAGACAGTAAAAATTCACTAATCTTCTTAACAAGTATTTGAACAGACGATAAGACGTATAGGGATTGATTTATGTCATTATGATATGCTCTGGATTTGTTTATGAAATTATTCACTTATTTGGGGTGGGGAGGGGGGTGTGGTATGCATTTGATTACCTTAAGCTCAGTTTAATACCGTGCTATTTCAACGAGGACCATTATTATTAACTTGGGGACTCGGTTTTGCTTGTTTTGTACACATCTGAACCCGAGTCCCAAGCTACGTTTGATTTCATGTGTATCCCCGCATCTTGGTATAATTAAACGGCATTAAGTGATGATATGCCTTTCAACTCCGGGTGTGCAGGCGATTAGCATTCGTTTACAAGTCAAACGATTGAATGGACCGAAGGGTAACCCTTAGGGTTACGCCTATCCGTATATTCCAAACTGTTACTGACCAAGTTACCTTTACTTTTCGGGTCTATTAACATAGCTGCTAGACTGAACAGATTTTCCTGGAAAGGTAAGGTTAGGTTAGGATGGGAAATTGATACTCGATGTTAAAACGCTGTCACTCCTTTACTAGTTTACTCCCTCCCAAATAACTTGTTGCAGACTAAAAAAAAAATGTAATGCATACAGTGGAGTTTAAAGTCTCCCAAACGGTTAACGACCTTGGCAATGCGTCGTAGGGTTTCCGAAGAATACAAAAAAAAAACACCAAATTGTTTACAATAACAACAAAACACATTTATATTTCCTTACCAATTTATTCCATTATTAATTTTGGTCATAACTGTGTATAATTTTTCCCAATAAAACAAAAAAAAATTACAGTAAAAATAGCTTAATCGTAACACAGTTTTTGAAAATTTCACAAGGGTCACAAACAATATTAGATTTAAGTGTATTGATGGTGGTGGTGGTGGTGGTTATAGTTTGGGGTTACCCGTCAAGCTACTCACCCTAAATATATATATATATATATATATATATATATACATTACAATTTAAATAGAAGATATAATAATATCATACATAAAAACACAATATTTTTTTTTATACAATAATAATACGTTGTTGTGTACATACAAAACGTTATAAACGGATTCGATAAAATAAAATAGTACAATAATAATAATAATAATAATAATAATAATAACGTTAAGTAATCATATTATTACTTTTTTTTAATATCACATTGTCGTTGTTTGGAAACGTGTGAAAATGACTATGGTATGCGTAGGTATGGAATGGTGTACGATGATAACAATAATAATAATAATATAGTATTTAATGATAATGTTTTACAATAAATAAATATAATGAAATAAAAATTTTAAAAATCACATCAATTTAGCGACAAAATGATAACAGTAGAAAATATAGTCATTGTTTGATCTATGATATTAAAAATGGATGCGTTCGGTACATTTACACGTCTACGCTTGTTTTAAACACATTAGTTTTTATTTGTTTTTTGTTGTTTTATTTACTTTAAGCGTCTGATATGTTCGTTAATTACATCCCTATGATAGTGTATAATATTGTGTACCTATGTTTTTATTTCCTATCTGCAAATATAAATTTTCTTCCCATAATCATCGCTTTTATTATACATTATATCATTATAATATAATGTGTCAATACATTAACTATCAAACACTAAAAAAAAAAACGAAAAAATAGACAATCGAGATATTATTTAAACTAGATTTTCACAAACACAAATAATGAAGTTATTGAAACAAAACAAACTAAACTACTTTTCAAAGTCCACCAAGTATAGGTACTTAAAAAAAAAATAATAAAAAAACATCAACCAGTATTTTATTGTGCACATATAATACGATTTAAATAAAATATGTTTTTTTTTATTAAATAAATTCCTACATTACATTTACCTAACGTTATAATATAAATATTTTATAGTTAAAAAATAAAACGATTGGAAGTATTCGTTATTAATGTACACACAGAGATTCAAACAAAACAACAACAGGCCGATTTTGCATTCTGAGATCGCATTATGGCTTCCTTAATGCTACACTAATATTATAGGTATGGTTAAATTATATACTATACATATTATATAAAAAAAACAATGGCTTAAATGACGGGAAATGTTCTGGTTAAAATTACACTGCAGTCCATAGACAAAAAAAAAGTAGATAGAGAGAGAGAGAAACGGAAACTCAGTGAAAATGTAGTGTGAAATATTTAATTATTTAATTTTTTTAAATCTGTTTTGGCCTAAAATAATAGAATTTAAAGTCAATATTTTTGCGTTTCGATGAGGTAAACGATATATTATTACATATTTTAAAAATTATACCGTTTCCAGAAATACTATGTAGGTAAAAGGGCGGCGCACTTGCTGCGAAGAAACGAGGTAAAAGATTATACACGGGGCGCCGCCAAAGCGCAAGTAAGTTTAAGTAATATTATTACTGTGTTAACGAGCCCAGAGGAAAATTTATGTCATGTTTTAATTGCGTTTATTAAATACTAATAATAATAATAATAATATGTTTTTTCGTTGGAAATATTAAATTCTATCACCAAATCTATTCATCCGTTTCTAATTTTTATTATGCAAGGATTTTATTGGTTTTTTTTGTTTTTCTATAAAAGCACCAATACCAAAGAAAAAAATGTACATAATATATACCTATATATGTATATCACATAAAGTACAACAATAATAATAAATAATAATAACAACAACAGTAATAACGTTTTTTTAATGGAAACTATGTAGATGGAATCATTATAATATGTAAGGGCGAGCAAAAACAAAATATGGAGACTTGTTTAGTATACTTATCTCGGGTTCCGTATTGCGCGGTTGTGGACGAAATTGTTTGTAAGAATTTTTAATTTTTTATCAAGCTCAATTAAAAGACATAAGCCAGACAGACAGCCAGACAAGCTGGCAGACGGACACGGTGACAATGTATTACCCTAAGTTATCATATACTATTGCATACAAAAAATAATAGTATATATTATTATATACATATACATAATTCGGGTATCCGTTTTGTTGGCCAATTAATATGGGAGAAAACCTTCAAAATAATAACCTACCGTACTTACACCGTTGGTGTACAATAATGTACAATTTTATAGAAAAACGACGACCCTATTTATCCGTTGTTTTTTTGCGGCCAAGACGAAATTATTTATGCCTATGAAAACACACACACGTTATATTATATTATCATTATATAATAATAATACGTTTAGGTACCTCGTATAAGAAAAACCGGTGGCGTTGCCGGTACTGTTTATCTCTCGACGAGGATATTTTTTTATTTTTTGCCTAGATGTTTTTTACCAAAAGACAACATGATCGCATAATAATAATATTGTTATATAACCGACAACGTTGTCGTTGCACATAAGAAAGATGACCTAGTGATTCTTCTCCCTCTCGGACGGGTCTCTCAATCGCCTGATGGAAAATCATAAAAAAGTAACGCAATTCACTCTAAAACCATTACCGAACTAGAGGAAAAAAATCGACTGGCCGTTGTGGGTTGAAAAAAAAACGGTAATTCGTTCGTTTTTAATGACCCTTTGGGTGATTAGCGACGATTTTTTTTTCAATTCTTCGATCACAGTCGTTATCGCACTCTGACCACAGTTCATCCCAATAGTTTACCCGGTCGATTACTATATAAAAAAAAAAAACATGACAGACTACCAACATTAATATTTTAACCTCGTCTCTTGTGCTACAGTTAATAATATATATTTGTTACACAAATGGAAGAACCGAGAAAAGTCTATTTAGAAAATTAAATGTTTAAAAATCAACTACGAACCGGGAACGCCGTTGAATGTAAAACCAGTGAGGCAACCTAACCGGTAAACGAGCTGAGTACAATAATCAGAGTTGGCAAAAACGGCTGATTTTATTTAGGCCCAAAAAAATTGAAGTATTAAAAAACCTGATTGTTGCCAACACTGATAGTAATACTTAAACGCTGTACACGTCTTGTTTGTTATTATGACTTGTTATTAATAATTATTATTATAGCACGGCGGTCGTGGTCATCAGAAAGCCCTGGCCCGTTTGGTCTCCTCCTCGACGATCCTCTGCTGCATCAGGTAGTTGGCCATGGCTATACCGCCGGCCGAGCCGCATATGGTCACCTTCCGGTTGGTGGTTCCGGGCGCGTACACGCCCTTCTTGGATATGTGTATGGTGACGCCGCTCATCTGTTGGATTTCGACCAGCGACCGTCCGCCGGGGCCGATGATGGCGCCCACGATGGACTCGGGCACGTCCATCTCACGCTTGACGGACTGTTGCTGGTCGTCGGCCATCTCGAACAGCGCGGCCGCGGCGGCCACGGCGGCGGCCGTCGACGTGGGCCCCATGGGCTTGGGCGCCGCTGCCGCGGCCGCGGCGGCCGCCACGCCCAACCCGTACGAGTTGGCGTTGGCCAACGACGGGCTGGCCGCGTTCTGCGACAGGATGGCGTTGATGGATATCGCGCCGCCCGCCAGTCCCAGGTCGAACAGATCGTTGGTGACGGCGCTCAGCAGCCCGGTGCCGTTGTGGTGTGCGGCCATCGACGGTGCCTGCAGCACGTTCGTCTGGTTGATCAGTGCAATTATCGTGCTCGGGCTCAACACGCTGTGCCTGTGAACAAGACAAAAAAAACCGGAAACGGTATCGAATTACTACACGGCGATGCCTTAAATAGCAAACAATTGTTCGAGTTTATTGCAGAAACAACGATTTAAAACAATTGTATTTAACGTCTGTTCGCCTCGGGGCCGACTCCGCGAGCAACCCGAAACAACAATCACCTACACAATAAGTCATTAACCTTCCCCTTTGTGTTTTATTGCACTAGACAATACAACGAAAACCCGTCGAAACGCTTCTTAAGTATACGGTTAAGTATTTGCGTTGTGTCGAAAGCATCGAATTTTGGACACAGCAAAAAAGGGCGAGGGGAAGGGACCGCAAGCTTCTGCGTTTGACAAAGCTTTGAAACTGCTATAAAACATAATATGCGCAAAATTACATTAATGGAAACGTTTTAACGTATTGGCCACAGTTACTATTTAATGTTTTAATATTTTGTAATTTTGGTAATTTTTTGTTTATTTGGCTTCAACAATGTCGCTTGTTAGCTCGATTGTGCATAAAAATTATTACAAATTGTAAATGACATAAGTGTTTACCAATATAATGTAAGTTTTTACAATTTATGCGTCAGGTTTGTTAACCTGAGTTTGTATACTATTAAATGAAGTTTGATTGTTTTTTTAGAATTTTATTTAAAAAGTATTACCGTTTGGAATAACAAATGCGGTAGCGGTTTACGCAAGAAACGGTCAACCGGAGAGAAAAACATATTATTTTATTTTATTAGGCGCAGTGTTTGAAATGAAAAAAAGTTTGGGGCCAACGTCGAAGAGAGCTAATTGAAAACAGCGAAATATACTTGCGCCAAATGACATGTATTCAACAAAATCGTCTTTATAAATGTCGTATAATATAAATTATATACACTTGGGTGTTATACCTTGAGTTATTATTATTAGATTGTTTTGTTTCAAACTTGTTGCAAAATTGTAATTCCTATATACGGTATACTTCACACGGCCGCCGGTCCCAAATCAATAACGCGGATGATTCCATCTACCCGGGAGAGGTGTTTTATCTATGGCCATAAATCTAATTGCCGTGTCTCGGACCCAAACCACTCGGCGCTCGCTTTTAACACAGCCCTGGTAGATTAATTCGATCGTACCCACCCCTCTAATAATAATAGTATCTACTTACTTGGCCAGTGTCAGGAAAGCCACGGCTATCTCGCCGACCGCCGATTCCGGATATCCGCTGGACCTGAGCAGCGGTTTGACGTTGTCGAGGAATTTGTTTGAAAATATGCCGTTGCTGACTTCCTGCGGCGACAGCGTCGTCGTGTTCAGACTGTAACTCGTTTGGTTGTTGGCTGTGGAAAATTGAAAAAACACCGTGTAAGAGAGTGTGAACGCAGCAATGGGCACGCTAAAGGAACTTATACTTACAGCAATTGGTCGTGGTTAGAGCGTAAGGAGATCCCGTGGGATTGAAATTGGCCACGGGACCGTTGACGTCGGCGTAGCTCAAATTCGGACACGAACCGCTCAACGGGTCTTCGATGATTTTATTGAGAATGCACAGACATACCTTCTTGTTGCCGTCCATATCGCCTGGAAAAATTAAACGAGACGCGTTGTTAGGAACAAACCCTGTGTCAGACGTCAAAACCAGGAAACGACTCAGATGAGGTGTGTGTGTGGAGTGAATTGAAAGAAATATTATGGTTAGAGAGAGAGGATTTGACCGACCTAATAAATTTGCAGTAGATAAGGCGGATTGGAATAAGGAGATTTGTCAAACGAATTAATATTTACCTGAAACAGTGATGCACCGTTCCTGTAGCGTAGTGTCTTTGGCTTTTTGCGATATTTGCACAAAACATCCACTGTCTTCCTTCAACTGTTTGATATACGTGCCGGCTTTGCCGATAATCATACCGGCCGTCGAGTTTGGTATCAAAATTTTCACCTATAAAAAGTTTAACAGTAGAATTTCATTAGATTTTATCGTTATAGCATATAACATTGTCAATACATTTGTATATATTTTTTTTTTTTAAATTAAATTTCAAAGACGTGCACGGTTAGGTCGAAAAAGTGAATTGAAGAAAAGTCTTCAAAGAAATCAATATTGTTGTAAATGGAGTACAGCAAATAGTTATCTTTCCTTTGCAGGCGACGAGACGTCAAATCGAATAGTCATTGTGAACATGCTATGTAAATTCGCATGGTTTCCAATTATAACATGTCAAATGTACTTGACGTTTTACCAAAGAAATGATTCTGTGAACGAAAAGCGCTCTCAAAAGCACACACTACAAATTCAACGTGAGAAATGTCATTAAACTTTTTTGGCGCCAGCATTTTCAACTAGCCATGTAAGACCGTATAGTCTTACAGAGGGTTGGCAGGTGGATTTTGTACACAACAACCGGACAAAGGTGGCAAGGGTAGTAGAATTTACACATAGTAAACCAATTTACAATAGTGTTTGTATTGTATATACCTGTTTCTCGCGATCGGTAATCGCATCCGCAGAATTTTGGACCCTATTTGCCGCTTCTGGTTTTTCCCGAATTCGTTCCATAATGAATGTCAGTGCGGCCATTATGTGTTCGGAGCAAGACCCGGATATTATGCACACTCTTTCGGTAGTGCCTGAAAAAAAAAAATTGATTTATGTTCAAACACTGTTGCGATGACACAAAAATGGCTATTGTATCTCATATAATATATTGATTTGACACAAAATTGGTTATCATGTCAAAGATCTTAATGGATTTTAAACCTGAAATCTCTCTGCGAATGACGTTTTTCTCTATTTAGTTATAATAATTCATTTAACGGGTCAAAAATAAAATAAAAATTATATATTATATAAGAAAGCTAAAAAATTATTATTTAAAACCCAGACATTGTTTGATTAGCATTTTTTTTCAGTAAAAAGTTAATATTTGAAATGATAAACATCAAACAAATAGTCTAGTGAGTAAAATTTCTTAAACATAAAAAAAAAACTTTGATAATCAAATTGCGCCTTGCAAGTTTTTGCAACTAAGATAAATAACAAGTAAGAAAGTTGCAATGTTCAGCATAAATAAGTTAATAAGATACAGCTAAATTTAAATCGACTTGACTCAAGACAAACATATTTAAATATGTAATATGCTTTAGTAGTCTACCTACTTGCTTATAAAATATGCAACATAGTCCCAGCAGGTTACCATCATTAATTATAAATAACTAAATCAGTGTATAAAACTTCTGCCAAACTTAATTGTGTGTGCTAGCAAAATAAAATATTACACGAAAAAATAACTTTTTTTTAGACATTTTTTTATTGAAATAATTTGGTTTGGCTTGCTAAATCAACTATGCCTTGGACGATATTTAATTGAATGCCCTATATTTATGAATTAGTCATAAAATATTCCAAAGAGGTCATTCGAAATACAAGAAAAAACATCATTGTAAAATCAATACCTTCTTAATTTCGCATCAAAGCTAAAATAATATTTATCGCCACCTACAAAGTTATATACACATCCAATACTATAATGGTGCTTTATCGAATTACATTATATATACATCTATTTCGTTTCTATAGTAATTTTGCTTTTCAAACAAAGAAAATTCAATTTATTCAAGTTTTGATGTTTGTATACAATCTACATATAATATTATGTACATTGCGTTATATTTAATGTTAACACTGAAACATATTGTTAGAAGAAAAAAAACATATTTGTAATACCTATATGAATATAACAAATCTTGACAAAAATATAATGGTCATTTCGAGTAAAACGCCTATTACTATAACGCCATTGTTAAGTACACGGTCGTATTTTAACAATGTGTTTTTACAATATTTGTATAAAATGCTGTACAAATGGAAGTTTGTCAAATATTTAGGTGTAAACTTTTAACAAAATAACGCAAACAAAAGAGAATAATTTATTATAACTTTTATACAAAAAAAATAAAAAAGGTACAATGACAGTAAATTAATTTTTGTTACAATAATATTTTCGTTTCTGAAAAATAATACAACGAAAGGCGTTGAGGCCATTTTTAACATTTGTTGATCAAAATTTATATGTTTTGAATGAACAAAACGGTTTCATTTTTATTTATGATTTTATTTTCAATAATATTCGAATGGCTTATACTTATAATATATTACCACTATTGCATTTATATTAATAATTTAACAAGTTGAAGTATTTGGTAAAGTTAAGATTAAGTTTTTTCAATGTACTAATATTATCAATTAACTAATTTTTACAAAATATTTATTACGAACACCGTAATTTATAAAATATATTCAGTTTTTACAAACTGAAAACTCTGTAAACTTGCATTAATTTAGACGTGAGTTGTTATTGTGAATTGAATTAATTCATTGTTTCTTTATTCATCATTTAAAAAAAAAAATGTATATATAATATGTTATGTAATGTTGTTTTTTTAATTTTTAAGAGGTAAATAAAAATGAATTTCCGGAATTAAAAAAAATTCTAAGTAAATATATTTTTCTATTAAGTTATTTAAAATGAAAAATAATAATTTATTCAAATGAATAATAAATTTCAATTGTTTATGAACGGGTTGCTCTTAACTTTTAATTTTAGACCTTAATTCCTAGAATTTCACTTGAAAAAGTGAGATAAAGTAAAAATGTCCACCCCTTCTAATAATATCTAATAATTTCCCCCTCTAAAAATTCGGTGACAATATTGTTGTTGGTATAATTATTATTCGCATAAAAAAACTGTACAGAAGATAAACCCTTTTAACCATAAAAATGTACGTTATTACATTGACAAAATAATTGTAAATCTAATGAATGTAATTAAGTTGAAATCAGATAATAATTATATACCACGTTATGCCATTTGTTAGTCTTCTCGACGTTTGTAACGGTTATGTATAAGCACCGAGCAAAACACAATTTGTTCCACCAATATGAAAACAACTCTTAATTGAAATTGCCCAAGCAATGCAACGTCACCATCATCGTTCAGCCAAAGGTAAAATGTGTAGAAAATATTTTTAACTATTTTATATAAATTACATTTTCCAATCAACAGCACAAGTTTAGCTGTTATACAAACAACGTTGTAACCGAGATTTTATGACTATATCAAAGTAGTAATGAAATGCAAAATTGAGAGTGTCAAATTAATATACAGAATAATATGTAAACCGTCCATACATTACATTATCTATTCATCAGTGGTTCGACTCACCTGGATAAAAGTCGTTGGTCTTTGACATTTTTATTTTCGTGTTGGTCTCGGTTTGTAACTGTGCAATTGTTTCGCCACCTTTTCCAATTATAGCGCCGGCAGTAATGCAAGGTATTAATATTTTCATATGATACATTCCATCTGTACTTCCTGAAAACAAACCGAAAACATACAGTTTAATGTATATTGCACTGTTTACAACATGTGTAGTACATTTATTTGCAAGGCTGGACATTTAGGGTTGACCGAGCTTAAGGTAAAAGTTTACTGTAACTTGCAATCTTAAATGCAATAGCTTTTATTCAAACACGACCGTTAAGTTGGTTTTTTAATTATTGTTGTAATACATACGTCAAAAGTTTGAAATGTTGACGCTGGTATGACGATAAAAACGATGATTTTTATTTATGGAAAAATTCTCATTAAACGCGTAATGAGTATTATGACAGGTTATAATGTAATCTCGGTACCGCATTTATAGATAATAAATACTGGCGATTAAGCCTTTCACGATTTCATTACAACCGTGTAATTGTGATATCATTTAACGCGTTAATAATAATTAGAGTTCATAGGATATTATAGCTCGTGCTTGGCTATCTCAATAATCATTTCAACGATAAAATTATAATATAGATAAGAAAGTCAGCAGCCGTCATTGGCAAAGTTACTTTCCCGAATAACCTAACACGAGCTCATACTTTTAATATCAGTTACATCCTAACCCTAAAGGAGGCACGTGGGGTACAAGCCCAGAGCCCTCAAACCCCTCGTGCAATGATAATGTAATGATAATTAAACATGCCATAGTAAAATAAGTGTACAAATACTAACTAGAAGAAATTGTTTGTTTTTTTTAGACGTCCTTTGAAGTAAAAAAAACACAATAATATTAAGACAAAACTGCGCCTTTGGTCGTTTGTTGTATAAAAAAAGAGACTAAATATGTTTTTCATTTAACAATGATGCAATAAGACTAGGGGTCTCGGTTTCGTACGTGAAGTAATACATACGTGATCACGTGAATAAAAGTAATATAAAACCCGTATGTTTAATTCACGTGAATTCGTTGTACGAAATTCACGTGATCACGTATATTAATATTATTCACGTGAATCACATGAATAAAATTATAAATTCACGGACAATTTCCAATCACGGGTTAAACTCGTGATTAATTTCACGTGAATCCGTGAGCCGTGATTCACGTGAAATAGGGAGCCCTAAATAAGACCGATGGTACCTGCGTGTTTGGACAATTTAGTCAACAAAACTTAATAATAATAATAGGATATTTTTATGATATTTATATTGGCGTTTTGTTTGGTCGAGAAAATATCAACATTAGCCTGATAGTGCAGCGTCCAGCGTATGACCACATATTATAGTCTGTGTGCAATATTGAATTAGTTACTGCGATAGCATACATCATATGAGTGGTGTATCAACTCAATGTGTTATCGATCCAGGAAAAAAAAACAAATTTCAGCAGACACGTCGTCAATATGAATTACTATTGATGTGATCGATTAAATAGTTATACGGTTTTTTTTATTATACCAATAAAAAAATTTCACTTGTTTAATCTACAATCTTCTTCGACCACATTGACCAAAACTGAAAAAGTGTCACTGATATAAAGTATAATATTCTCATTCGAGCTATACCTACATATATGTACCGCCAACTGACGCATTACCGCGCCAAGCGAACAGTGAATGACATATATCATTATAAAGTTGATCAATCATTAAAACCGCTCTGTACCTAGGTATAAAAATATATAAATTGAAGTATACATTTGTTATATTACCGAAAGTAATTGAAATTAAAAGCCGTCGCCGCACCGAGAGCGGATCGAATACCTTTTGCATCGAAGCTAGATAAAAAAAAAGGTTTTATATTTATTTGTTACACACATATATATATATATGCATATTTATATTTTGGCAAAACACTCGTTATTAATCCCCCTGGACGGTCAGAGCTGGAATAATATCACAAAAACACTAATATACTTATATCCGCGGGTTGCAAGACTTGGCAAATGGACGAAATTGTTTTGGCACAACACCCAAATTCGGTGCTGGACAAAATGTACTTAATTAAGTTTTACGGCCACCCGTCACGAGCCCAGCTCGCATAAACTTATCGTTACATCAAACTGTTTTAACCCCCGACCGAATTAAACACAATTATGTTCGAATTAGCTTTTGTACAACAACATTGCTGCGTTCAAATCCTTTTTGGATTTGGACATACCCTAACTCATTTGCAAACAATTAACAGATTCTCATACATAATTATCAGCGCAAAATTATAATGTCAATAATTGTTTTACAAGCCAAGCCCAACCGGATTCCTTGTCCATAACCACACAATAATGCTGTTATCGTTATCAGTGTATAAAAACGATTTTTATATCAATAATTAGAGTTATTTTTTTTTATCATTTGACATTGTTTCGAATTTAAAACAACGACGTCAGCGTTAAATATAGTATTAAAAAACATATTAGGTTTAAAATATTTTTGTTACTCATACTAAAAATATTGATTATAACTCAAGCCGTGAACCTGCGTCCGATTTTTTAGTATGATTAAAAATTAAATAAACATTACTCTTCTGATAATTATTATTTTTTTTTTTTTTTTACTATGACCTTTAATAATAAAAAAGCTCTATACAAACGTTTATTATGTAATCTTTAAACGAAAAAATACAGGTTGAAAAGATGAAAATTAGATAACTTACAAGTGACTGGTAAGTTTTGTAATTTCATTATGACTGTGCGGTAAAGCTTTTTAATAGGGAAACACATTTTAATAGCAACTCACAATTAAATGCATCGTTAGATAATTATACAAGGTTATTTTTATACTTCATTAGAATTTTTAACATAATAAAACATATTGTATGCGAAGTACTTAAAAAAAAATTATTCAAGGCTGTGTGACGATGCGTTCCAAGTTTAATATCATAATAATACCCGTTTAATTTAATTTAATTTAACCGTGCCATTAAAAAACTCCATATACATACATAATGTACATAGTTACAGGACAATAATTATTAGACTTTTTAGTGCAACATATTATTGTAGTGGCGTCGCGTAATGGCATTGTCATTTATCTAAACTATATGATAAGTTGCCAAGATTTTCGCGGTAAAACTGTATGGGAATATTATGTCTGTGTCAGATGGGTCTTGTCTAGGTGGTGAACGGACCACTTAAGGGTGGTTGGTAACTAGTGTTGGCGAAAAGCAGAAATTTCCAGTTGGAATACACACATCTATAATATACGAGACCGTACTTAGGTATAATACAGCAAACCACATACAATATAATGTTTGTGTTCATACGGGTGGGAATACATTCCGGCTGTATAGTATTATAAAATATAATCATCACGTAGACGTCTGGGGGAAAAATCACATCAATCCGACGCCGCAACGCTTTAGGCTGGTTTTTTTTTATCATATCGTAATAATAAAAAACGCTTCTCCTATTGAATTGAAAAAATATATATAACGTGAATCTTACGGCAGTATAGCGTAACGAGTCTCTTAAGACCACAACAAAAACCGTATACAATTTGTGTAGTGCATACATAATTAATGTACAATTAAAATCAAAGGTATTATCAATAAAACCCTTTGGCAGGGCGTCCGATTAAACGACGGTTTAAGACGGTGGTCGAATACGGTTTTCACATTACTATCGACGGTCCAGGATAGATATTTAAGGGTAAAATATGATGTCAAGTCCGCTTTTACTTAACAGGCTAACAAGTTAGATTTGCCGGTGAAGACGTCTTCGAAAAATTAACAACAAAATAAATAAATTACTCCCGTTAAACCTTGCGGATAGGTCACCCGGATTAGGTCGGATTTATATTTGTTCTCAGCCGTTTCGCCGGAATGCCAGCGCTCGTCTTAGCGCCACCACTACTCGTAAGTCTCCCGAAGAAAAGTTCACCGTACTAACTTCCTTTGGGAAAAGTTTCGTCCACGTTCTGGAAAACACACACACACACCGATATTGCTCGACTGCCGAAGAGTAAATTTACCCATTTAAAAGCGTTCCGGCCGTAAGACACATGATATATATAATGTTGTTTTAACAATAAATTACTACAGTCGTGCATCTTCGCGCGATCAAAGTGCACCGATGACGATAAACGTCTGAAATAAAAACAGTATACATCTAGTATGATAATAATATATACCATTGTACGATTCACAGGGTGCTACCGGATTAAATAGCATAATTAAAAATAATAATTCGGCAATTTTAGAAACAAATTGTAGTTCTCGGTTGCATGTTAGAAATGCTTAAAAAATAAGTATCCTGTGCTAGTAATTTGTTCTGGCTTCAGCGTTTATTCTTGTACTTACGTTGGATAAGTACAGTATGACAGTTTGTAAACTCAAAACAAAACCGTTCGTTTCACTATTACTGCTGTTTATGTACAGTTGAAATGTCTCGTTGATAAATTTTCGTTTATTTAACTGTACCCAATCACAATTGTTCATCCATGCACAGCTGGGACAATTTTTTTAAAATAATTCCCTATGTCATTATTTAAGTTTTGCTATTTAATCCGGTTACACCCTATAGATGTTCTCATTGGTATAACGCTCCGTTCTTTCGGCAACTTGCCACTAGTGTAATAATTAATACTATATTAATTTGGCGTTCTGTGCCACGTTCATCACATTTCGGACGTTTATAGGCGTGACAAATAATAGGAATTTAATACAAACAAATTGACAGAGCTAATATAGGAAATAATATACAGCTAGTACGAAAATAATAACGACGTTACACTGCCGTCGCACTTCAATATACTAAGACGTTTTCGTTGATATTTGGACGAGGGGATGACGATCCGGGGTGTCGTCGCTTTTACCAACCCCCATCCCCCCGTCTTGAGCCTAGCTCGGGGTGACTTTCATAAACGATGATTAACGGTTTCCACCGGACAATGGCGATCTCGAAACGACAGCGATGGACGTGAAAAATGAACGTCGAATACCTACACGAACTCGGGCACAACACCTTTTGATAGCCACATGGAAATCTTCCTGTCTTCAAACTCAACTCTGGCCTTCTCCCAAGACGACCGATGTGCTGGATTGCAAAGTCA